GGGGAGTTATCATGCCCGCCATCAAAAATATGGACTTTTCTTTAATCCCATAAAACAACAACAAAACCATAAAAAAATATTGTAAATTATTTTTCTTTTCCTTTAAATCTTCAAACATATATCTGCAAAGTTACAAACCTTAACAAGCATTGGTATTGATTTACAAGCCCATTGAAAATCTAGAACCAGACCAGTTTAATGAACTGTATTAGTTTGTAGACTCGGTAGTGATTTCAAAATGTTTTAGTCATATTTGTACCACTGGTCCTGAAAGCCATGTTTTGGTGTACCCATTAAATTCAATTGAACCGTGTTTAGCAGCATATTTTCAATAGAGAACCGTGTTTTGACATAGAACCCACACAATTTTAAAAATTCTCTTCTACATTTCTACCTTTAGATTGAAATGAAATGTCTGATTCAGTCAGAAATCGAAAGAGATCATAAAGTAGCACAGCTTTCACACAAATAATTTTTTTAAGTCAATATTATGTAAAAAATTAAACATTTCAGTAGTTTCGATTTCTCACATTTTTATAATTGTGTTCCCAATTAATAATAAATATTTTAAGAAAGCTCAAGTAGCTCCGATCCCTCATATCTATATAAATTATATAGCCCAATTAATCACGAAATGTGTGTAATATTATACATTTCAACATTGAATATTATTTAATATCACCAAAAAAATAAAATATTCAGATTATTACATTAATTGAAAAACATTTGACATCAATATATAAACATGAAAATTCTTACAGAGTAAATTTTAACGTTTAAACATTTTACCATCCCGAGTGCATTTTTTACACTATTTTGTAACTATGTTAATCTGTTTCAAAATTTTGTTTACTTCCCAATGCAATAAAAATTTGTTGAATTAATTTTTATTAAAGTTGAGTAAATTGGCAATTAGGTAATTATGTTTTTGCCAATAGTCGGCATTTTTTTCCAATTGTCGGCATGTCGGGTTCCAAAAGTCGGCATGTCGCATTTTTGTTAAATTATATATTTAATCGATTTTTCTGTTCTTTCCGTTAATTAATTATTAATATTCGACGTTTCCATCAGTGATGTATGAAAAAGTTATATAAAATAATTTATTTATTAAAATATTACAATTATAAAACATGGTGCTAATTTAAGATTAAAAAATGTCTTCTATTTTGTAAAACCACTTACTTGCCGGCTCTCGGAACACTAAATCTACAAGTCATCAGCAAATGCAAATGACATGCAACTTCTACTACTAGCAAATCATTAACATACGTAACAAACAATAGAGGCCCAAGACCAAGACCCCTGGGGTACACCACTACTCACTGGGAGCATTCCAGAAACAAGGTTCCTACAACAAACATACTGCTTCCTTCCGAACAAGCGATGCAACTTTCTAATTAAATTAGCATGATTAATGTTGTCAAGGGCTTTCTCTAAGCCTACTGACAACACCGCCTTTCTTATATTGCCGGTCAATCCAATAAGAATGCAGTGCTGCGATTACACCTAAATCCATACTGGCTCTCATGCAATAGAGAATTTTCACCAATATAAAATAGCATTTGATCTTTCATAACATACACAACCATTTTCGAAAGAATCGACATTACAGATATAGGCCTATATTCACTAGAATCCCCATTTTTTTTTTTTTTTTTTGATTAGGCACTATTTTGCAATATTCCACATCTCTGTAAACACAGATATTGTTAACATAGAATTGACAATGTGCAACAAAAATTGAGCAACAAGGGGAAAAACTTCAAAAGCATCAAAAGGAATATAAGAAATATCAAAAACATCTATTGATTCGAAACAAAACCAAAATTTGTAAAAATGTATTTTATATTGATAATTTGTTTATTTAATTTACTTTTATAATTTTACTTGTGTGATACATAGCAATTATTATTTGGGTAGTTCATGTATTTTTGGTACATCCACCCTATATTCCAGTTTAGACCCTCACTCCCAACGTTTGTACTCCAATAGTGTAAATTCGGGCAAAATTTCTAAATTTTCCTCAGTGCTGTTTTAACGGACGTGGCTGCAACATAATATTCCGCGTTCTCAGAGTATAAAATCAATACAAAAGAATGAAATTTCCAAAACAGAAAAGATTTCTTGAGACGGTACCAACGGCTGACTATTAGAAAAAATTATAAAGTAACATTCAGCCACACTCGAATCCCTTTTTTGGACTTTGGAATGAACAAATAGCATTTGGTAACAATTGTAAGTAGACACAGATAATCGTTATTTATTCATTGATATGTTTAATTTTTTTAGATTATGTAAACGATGTTTATAGATTGTACCCATTTGTGATGTATTCCTAGAAGGTATATATATATATATATTCAAAATTCGCTAAAAGTTTTAAAATAGAGTGTAATTTTTAACGTTTTCACTTAAAATTTTAGCAAAATGGGATTATTCAAGTAAAAATTGCATCTGGTATATTGCTGCAAGGAGTGCAACTTATATTTACATTACACACTCTACAATTACACTTTAAATATTTGACAAAATAATTTTTTTCTCGTACAACTTCAAAATTATCATATCCGTTGCCCACGTGTAATGATGTAAAAGCTTTTTTCAGTTTAGATCCATCAACTGTTGATATTTTACAAAATATTGATTGTCTCTAAATAATTCTCGAGTATTTTTTTACGTACAATTTTAAAGACAATTTTAAAATTTTCAGTGTCTGTTGCACAAGTGTAATGAGAGTAAAGGGTTTTTCTCTTTAGTTCCAACACTTGTTCCAAAAACATTTCACAAATGAATTTTTTCGCTGCATCTGCATTTCGGCTTGCTCCAGTGAACTCGGGAAATGTCACCGACAAATCGGAATACATAATTTTCTCTTCCAGCAAATCGGTTTTATTGAAGAACACAATTATGGAGGAGTCAGACAAATATTCACAATTGGCTACTTTACGAAATACTTGTTTTGCTTCGATCAACGCGTTATGATCCTCGGATTCTTCCAATACCTTATCATAATCGGATATGGCAACTACAAACAGAATTACATTGACTCCATCGAATGCCCGTAACCATTTTGGACGATTGTTACGCTGCCCTCCAACATCGATAATACAAAGTTCGGCATCGTTCTCTTCAAATTTGTACTCCACAAGACCTTGTGTACATGCCCGAACATGTAAAATGTCATCATCACTTGGCAAATATTGTGCTTCTGTAATTCGTTCGATATGTAGCATATAGTATTTAATGGAATCGTTTATCTGATATTCATTGCGTCGCCTAAAACACTGCCGAACGCCTTCATCATCCCACAATTCCTTCATTGAAGCTATGAACATATCCGGAAATTGTCGAAACTCTTTCATTTCGAGATCATTTACGATTCTAGAATTATTTATATTTTGTTTATTTTTATATGGAATATCCAATGAGGACATTGCCGCAACCAATATCTTCAGGGCAATGAGAATATTGTGGAAAATTATTTCAATATATCTCTGGCGTTCCTCTTCGCTAAATCCTTTATAGAACATATGCATTTGTCGTATAAATGTCGACTTGCCGGATGACCCAATACCCAGAAATAATATTTTGATTTGACGACTTTTGTATTTTTCCATATTTCTCAACATTTTCTCCAGCTTTTTATTTTGAAGTCGCTGATATTTTTCAAATTCAGTCTCGCACCAATTGAACCAGGGCATATTATGAAGATAAACAAACGCGATTTTATATAATAATTTTCTTTTAATATTTTTAGGTCTGTATTACTCCACGAATAAAAATGAAATGTTATTTTTCATTTTGTGCGATGTGATTCAATGAAATAATGATGCACATTGGCTGCGGTTAATAAGTGAGTAGACAGAATAAAAAATTGTGAAGGTCTCTCCATATAAGATTTAATGCAGATTTTGAAAAACAAACAGTCCACTTAAAATCTGTTGGACAACATGAAACAAAAATCCAATTTTAATATACGCATTTGAGTTAATTAATTTGTAATGTTATATAAAGTAATAATAATATTTTTAGTGAGAATTAATTTGAGAAAATTTTGAATGTTTGTGAAATTTATTTTGATTTTGATTATCATTAAACATAAAAATGGATGAAGAAAAGGCATGCACAAAATTAAAAAAATACTGTGCATCTCACAAATGTCCACCTCGCTATCAATTGAAGATGCAGGTATAATAGGTGTTTGCAAAACATAAATTTTCCGTATTGCCATTCATTTTTCTAATAAAATGCTCTTAAAAACGAAAATTTCGTATAAAATCCCAGTAATTTCTTACTGAATGAATGTTATTGGAAAAGTAAACGAACGCGCATATTCTTTAGTTTGGAAAAATACAGCAATAACAATTACAAAAATTCACATAATTAAACATCGTTGGAATTCAATAAATTGAATAAAATGAATTAATATTTTAAAATTTTTAGAAGTTTTAATTTACAAAATATAAAATATTTTTTTGACTTGGGGTAAAAAATTAAGAGTAACTGCTGATTGAAAAACAGCGAAAATTTTCGGGTTATTGCTTAGAAGAAATTTAGAATGTCTGGTTACTTTTCCAGTAAAATTTACCCAGTAGGTTCTGAAAAAAGAATTGTTAAACGTACTCTCGCCCTCCGCTCTCTTTTATTGGACGTTGGAGTAAAAATACAACATCCCGTAACATTTGTTAAAAATTGCAAAATCGATGTTTTATGTGCGAAAAATTTTAAAATTAACGGCAGATAATGGTACAGGTTATTTCTTTTTAGAAGATATTGGCCGGTAACATCCAGTAAGTGTTCATCATATAATTGTCAAATATGCTCTGTTTTTAATTCGATAATCGGCTTGAAAAATTATTCTGAACCAATGATTTCATATTAATGCTTAATACATATCGAACCATGTAATAACCAACACATAATTATAATTTAACATAAAAATGTATTTGTTAACACTTAGCTTTAACAAAACTGCTCTAGAAATATAATCTAAATATTTAATAACACTTTTATCTACTACGCATATAGTAATCGATGACAGTTGAGAATGCAGCAAAGCCGGCAGCACCAATGATTCCAGCTTTTACACCAGCTCTTAAGCCAATCAAACCTCCCGTAACAGCACCAGCATAAGTGCCATTACGCCAATCTGTAACACCACGTTGCTAAAATTTTACAAAAAAAAAAAATGTTAAGAAACACTACAAAAATAACGATAATGCTTACACTCTCTATAGCACATTCAACGGCTGAGAAGACACAACCAATTAGAGCAAAATTTTTGGCATATGAATGTGTGGTGGCACGCATTTCACGGAATATTTCACGCGCGGTTTGTTTACGTTCCGTTGCCAAGGGATCCGTCATATTTGGATTCACGGAAGCTGTAAATAGACCTATGGCGGCACCCAAACCATAGCCTACAGATAAAAAAGATAAATGAATTTATATTCTATACTTTTCAACAAGTCTTCCACGGCTTACCCATTACACAAGAAGTTATCGATTTGAAGGTGCAACTTTCCACAGCCCTTTCAATCATTTGTTCTTCATTAGTTTTAATTTGCACAGGTCCATTGCTTTTGGGTATAACTACATGTTCTCGATATCTTGAAAAATATTCGAAAATAATTTTAGTGTTCCAATCTCTGCTACAGAACAGATATCATAACCCTTATTCATTCATCCAAAAATACCTTTGCATGTTGCCGATAAAATGTTTGGCCAATGAATCCAAATCGGGATTTTCAAAAAATTGTGGTTTTGTGTTGGCATCACGTGGCGGAGGTGGACCGAAATTCATTTTGTTATAGTATTTATATATTTATACGAAATTTATTTCATAAAAATAAGAAATTAAATTAGAATTGTCGTTCCGCAACAAAATGGTTCAATTTAATTATTCACTGTTGGGAACTATTTGAACTAGTATAAAATGAAAACATATGTTTCCATCAATCAAATATAGTTATCGATAAATAGTCAATGAATACAGACGACTCTGTATTATTGTCATCATATTAAAGTAAAATATTGGAAAGTGATCGATGTAACGACATGTAACCAACAATTCGAACCTACAGAATTTAATAAATACAAGGTAGATGTACCGTAATGTTTAATCGTATCGTCTGGGTAGAAACCCCGATCCTTTAAAATGTAGAGGAAAACAACTCAAATTTGTTGGGCACATTGTATTTTCAGATATATACATATATCAAAACAAGTAACATGAAGCCGAAATCGTTTAAAATTACACAATTTTAACTATTTTAACTACCTTACGATTATAACGACGATATCTACAAATCCTGAATAATAGTACGTTTACATTATACCGGATTTCGTTAACCCAGTCGGTTTCCATCCAATTCCATTTCCATCTTCAATTCCATTGTATACATGCCAAATAAATCCTCATAAAGTAGGTTAACCCGGTAAAAAAAGTTCTAATGTAAATGCCTTTTATGTAGGTTAACCCGGTAAAAAAAAGTTCTAATTTAAATGCCGTTTAAGCTATGTATTTTATTTTCTATCATTTAATACGGCATTCGCTCATTGTGAAAAATTCCCCCAGGCAATTTAAGCGATTTCGACTGTATTCGAAACAGACATTTTTGTTATTTATCATATATGTAATTTATATTTGTTATTTTTATATATAAAAATTGAAATAAATATATGTTTTACATCATACTTGCTTTAACATATCATCTAAATTTATTGATTTATTTTTTTATCACAAAATACATTGTTATTCGTAAACAAAGATATCATTTTTTTAATCATTCGTCATTATCTGTTTAATTTAATTAGTTTAATTTTTGTAGTTAAATGTTACATTTTAGTCTGCTTTTAATAAGCTGTAGATAATTTTGGCTTTTTTAAAACAAAACACATACTAAACTAATTAAAAGCATATATTATTAATAAAATTACACAAAAACCAATTACAGCACCCAGTATTAATGCATCTCGTTTCTTTTTAATATTTATTCGCTGTATTAAACTGTAAATAAATTGTAATAAGAAAAGGTGTTGAATTTTAAATAAACTTGGAAAAGTGTTGAAAAATTAAATTACCTGGATATTAACGGAAAACGATTTGATATATCATTAAGTCGAGTTTGAAAACGTTTGAATGCTTGCCGCTGCGATAACAAATGCTCTCTAGTCTCAATAGCAATGTTAATTTGATCATTTATCAATGTATTGGAACTGCAATTGAAATAATTGAAATTACAACAAATAGGAAGACCATTACAGATTTTTTTTATAAAATTTGTCCAATCGGGAATGTGGATGAAACTTTAATCTACCAAAAATATGTAATATGTTTACGTTAATATACTAGGGAAAAAGGTCAAGTAGCTTAAATAATACATCGCGAATAAGACGCGATTTAAATATTTTGGACTGTATATACATATAAATATTGGTAATGTACACATTTGGAACAGTTTGCTGAAAAACTTACTTTTCATACTTAGCATACTATGTCGTACATCATCAGGTCTTAAATATTTAAATCAAAAAATATATATTTACGAGCTGAGTATTAATCCTTTGCATCCTGATTTTTCCGTGACCATAGAACTATTTTTGGTGTAAATATTTAATGTAACTATCCTAAATAGTTTATGCACAATATGTGAAGTCGCTACATTCTTGCATTAAGGAATTACATTACATTATTTTTGAAAAAAAAAATCCAACATCAAGAAAACCAAAAGCAATATCGACGAAAAAGCAATAATACACCCTTTTACAAGAATCGAAAGCAATTCTGATGGTACAATTCGAATACGAAGCAATTTTAATTATATTGACTGTATACACAAATTGGTACTGTACATATTTTTCACCTCTATATTTAAATACATTGTAAATAAAATATTAGTACTGTCAGGTATATACCAAGGCGTTACAAACGGACTGATATAAATTCCATTAAATTAATTTACTAGAAACTTAAAAATGAATATTTCTAAACAAGAAATAATTAATTTTTTCGACAATTTAAATAAAATAATCGGTGTGGAAAATTGTTAGCACTCTAGTTTCTTATACGAAAGACCTATTGTTAAGGTCCATTAACTGAATTCATACATTAGGGTGCGGTCAATTATGTGATATTTTGTAATTGATTTGCATTGATTAACACATAATATTGCAAACTCACCTATTAATATGCGAACTTTCTTTCAAATACATATCTCGTCTACTTAGGCCGGATATTGAAGGACTGTTTGTCGATAAGCCAGAACCTCTCAATAGCTCTTCACGCTCCAGTCGCATTGTGTGATTGGCGCTAATTTTATTAAATTCCTGGCGATAGCCTTGCAATATTTCACGATGACGTTGTAGTGTGTGCATCATTGCAGCACCCGATGTTGGAAGTTCTGTCATTGCCTCATTGATAGATGAAAGCTGTACGGCAAGGAGAAGTAGTACATTTCCGGTATTTGTTCTAATCATATCACATTTACCTTATCTAACATCTGAGCAATTTCCTCCGACAATGAGTCAAATACATGTTCTCCTAATAATGGTGCAGTGTCCGTAGCATTCGAACTATGACCCATTGTCGAACTGGAGCTAGAGCCTATCTTACTGAAAGCCACCAGCTTAAGGTCGATTTCATTTTCCAGTAGTCTTGCTTGTTTCCGCAATGCTAGAGAAGAGATTCGGTAAATAAAACTGTTTGGGAAAGTAAGTTTCTTTAAAAATAAATATATATTTACCATCATAATTGGTGACGACCATTGTTGGGTTTAGTATTGTGTCGTTCCGAAATGAACTAGTTCATATGAACTATTCCGAGAAGCGAAACATCGGAACTAGTTGCAGCTTTTAAGTTTATTTAGTACCTTTAGTTCAGTTTTTATGGTTCATGGGAGAATGTGATGACAATTTGTGCGAAATTTTTTTGCTAATAAATTTAAAGGGTGTTGTCTACAAAAATATTTCTATAAATATTAAATAATTTTGTGAAGAATATATATACAAATTCTTAGTCCTGATTTAGATCTTATCCTTCTCTTTTGAAATTGCTTCATGCATCTATACAAGGCAAGTCGGTTTCAAAACAATTTTTTTTTTTTTGATATTTTGTGCATGTTTTTTTATGTTCGAAAATGTTTTGGATTGGTATTTCAAATTACTGACACTACATACAAGCAAAATACACAAAACGAATTGCCAGAAAGTTGTCGGTACGAGCAATTTTTTCCATTGCCCCTCTCTCCACAAAAAAAACTTACCGCAAGTAAACTCGCCTAATCTAAATTGGGACTTATTCTAGACGATTTAAAATATTATTATAAATGGTTGTATGAATATTTTTAACACAAAAAAAACAAATAAAATGCCATTGGAAATCCTATTGATAACGATGCATGCTCAACCAAATATTGCCACGGAATGTATACAGTCAAAAAGGCTGAGTTTGATGCAATTTGAAGGCGAAATAAAGATATTTTGTTTGAATATCGGTCTCTCCAGAAAAAAATATTAAAAATTATGGAATAAACACACTTAACAGTAACACTTATGAACAAACAATAATAAAGCAAAAAAAAATATTTTTTCTTTCAAATTTTTTTTTTTCATGTGCATTTCATATCATGCACGGACGAAAAAACGAGGAGCAGCATATCGATTTTTTCCGATTTTTTTTTCGTAATCATAGAACAGATTTAATGCAACTATCCGAAATAGGATATGAACAAAATTTGACATCGCTACATCCATGTCCAGGAGATGCAATATCAAGAAAAATAAATGCAAAATCGACGGAAAAATCATTTTAAATCATTCTCTATATTCTTTTTTACAAATTTAAAAATAATTCTAATGGCAGAATTCGTACAATTTGAATATGAAGCGATTTAAATAATTTGGACTGCATTCACAAATTGTTACTGTACAAATTTTTGCCCTCTTCTCTATATTGAAAAGCTCATAACTTTACCAAAAATTTGAATTTGTAGATTTTTCTTTTGATATATGTCGTCCATAATCAGGTCTTGACATATAAAATCCAATGATCATATATCTTCCAGATGTATATTAAATATATGCTCTAAAACATTTTGTTGCCTGTGGGCAACATTGGGACATAAAGGGTTAAGAATTTGGGCACATAAAATATCGAAATTAAATAAAAAGTCACACAATTATGTAGTGAAATAAAAACGGCGAATTAATTTAATTCAGTCGTATATTTCTTCGCATTATTCTTTGTGTCTTCGACATCGTTCAATGCGGTTTTTGACATCATAAAAACATGTTATTTTATTTGTAATCTGCTGTAGTTCTTGCACAAAATTGCATCAAAACAATAAACAGCCGTTTTACATTTAAATTTATAAAGTTTAAATAACAAAAAAAGGTACCAATTTTTTAAAAGAAAAAACAATAAATAAAATGTTAACAAATTATATTACAATCGGTCAACACATATTACAACTTAAATTACAATTGTTCCGTTCCAGAACCTAAAAGAATCTACTAATTTTACAAGTTTTGCAACTTTTTACTCGAAAACCGTTCCGGAACCCACAAAAGTGGTAAAAAATTTAACCAAATTTAAGAGAACATAAAACAAAATGACGTTCTCTTTGTAAACTTTTTACTCGAAAAATTTGGGCGAGTAAAAATGGTAAACATGAATGCAAACTTCTAATTGGCTGTTTTTTTTTTTTTGAAGTAAAGTCATCTAATTTTGAAATATTTACTAGATTTCCGTTCCCGAACTTTTCGAATTATTTTGTACTCTGAGAGTGATTTTGACATTATTCCCTTTTACTAGATTTACTATTAAAAAAGAACTGGAACAGACCAAATATGACAATACGAATATTTTTCCAACCACGATTTTCGAATATTCAAATCCGCATCTCACATTTTTAGCTTTTCCTATTCATTCAGAATAAGGCGAGAATATGAAAGCGACACATTTTTCATAAGGAATACATCTCCCTAACGAATATCCAGAATAAGGCATTTTTGAAATGGCGCCAAATTATTCACATTTAGTGAAAAATTTGACTCTGTCGCCCTACAAACGTGGCTAGGCTATCCTAGCCCAGTTTTAATTCTATAATGTCATTAGTATTTAAAGAAATAAAACTCAATTTTTTAGATATTGTTGTTTTACTGATTTTTAATGTTTTTCTTGTAAGGAAACATGTTTACATCAATAGAAAAAAATTATTTATATACTTTTTGTTTTGCATATAAGTAATTTGATTTGTTTCTGTTTTCTATTTACTTTTTTACGTTCTAAATTAAATACAAGCTTCTATATTAAGTGCAACATCTAATCTTTAAAAATAATAAAAGTAAAAGAAGTAAAAAATATTGAATAAAATATATTAAAATAGTTATTAGCTTTAAGCAGTAAATAAAATAAAATTATGTACTATGTATAGAATATATTTAAAAAAATATATATGTATATTAAAATTTACTTACAACGAACATTCTACACAAAATCTTAAAACGTATGAAAGAAAACTTATGTGAACCAATTAAGGCCCAACTAACCAAAGAATATGTAAAATAATGTCTAAGAGAACAACTAAAATTATAACTTAGTTTAAGTAACATTCATTAGTTGTTAGTTTAGTTTTAAATGTTGTAAGTGTTGTAGTTGTTGATGTTGCTGCTGCAGACGCTGCTGCTGTTGATTCGGTTGCAGTGTGGCTGTGGTTTATTATGATGATGTATGTGAACCTAGTTTCTAGGTTCACTTTTATATTATTGTCGATTATTGACGCCATCAATAGACGAATGCATAGTATGCTCCATATTCTTAACAATTATATAGTTTGTGATGTGATTGATGGCCTCATCCTGTATTCGCTCTGGCCAACGACGTATATAGGATTTGATAAAGTCGCCAAAAGTGTCGACCTTATCCGGCGTGGCCTTATGAGAATCAACAATATTTTTGACAATGTCAACAAACTTATCATAGTCATCCGGTGACTTTTTGATTTTGTTGTAATTAAGGACACTGCCGTTGGTAGCATTATTAGCTGAGGCCGCCGCCGAAGCAGCTGCATTTAGCTGATCCATTTGATTTGATTCATTAAGTCGTGATGCTGCCGCGACCGCAGCTGCAGCAGCAGCTGTATTGGCCATAAAGTTGACATCGGCATTGCCGGTAGCTCCACCAGCCCCTCCATTTGCCTGAGCCTGGGAATGATCGATAAAATGTCGATGCATTCCATATTCCGATCTGAAACAAAGACAAAATATGATGGTTATTGTGTCAAATATCTTCATGAAAAGAAAGGAAAATCAATAAAATCATTATGTGCTAGGCGGTACATTTAAAAGATACGTAAAATTCACAGCCTCATTAACTGTTCTAAAGTCCAGGAATCATTTGCGATCTATACAGGGAAGGGAGTTTCTAGACTCATCTTGAAAATGTGAAAATTTTACACATCTGATTTGTAGCTTGGGAGAATCACACAGAATTCTTATTCAGTAAATTTGGCAAGGGTTTCGAAGATTGGTTTTTCTCTCATAGGGGTTGAGATCGAGGATGCAAAGGCATCGAAGCAGGGTTTGAAAATTTTACATATCCATGCGTCATTGTTGTATATAGGCTGCTGATTTTTTCGGCCTCGCTAAAATATAATCGGCAAGCTAACTTCAACCATAACAAAACTAATGGGGACGTGGTTGCCTAGACTCCGGTGTAAGAAGTTACTCTTAATAGAAGAACAGATATATGCAATTTTAGGTCTACAAATCTCTGAAACTTCGATCAAAATTTCACTGGCACATGAATAACAGACAATCCAGATTTGTCATAAAGTTAATATTTCCTAATATAACCGCAAGCACTTGTTAAAATTTGATTCATACAATGTATATGACTTATATATTGATATATAATTTCCACTTTGCTAATTTTTATTCTATCACATACTGTCACTAACATTAACCCCCCAACTTACTTGTAAAAACCTTCGGAATTATTGCTGTTGAACTCCTGTTGAGACATTTGATTTTTCCAAACTGGTGACTCGGATGAAGAAGGTAAACTGCTAGCATTCGATGCTGGTGTCATAATACGTTTATCTCTGTAATTAACAAATTAAAATAATAACAACAAAAACATAAAAGACAAACAAAAATAGATTAATTTAATTTGCAATTGTCATGTGTTTACAACAAACCCACACTTTAACGCACTTTGTATAGCCGGTTTGTCCCAAACTCTTAAACACATCATCCACTTGATTGAAGAATTTCCATGTACTTATTATACCGGTCGCTTCAAATGTTTTCTGTTCCTGACGATAGCGCTGTGTTAAATTATTTACTTTGAAGTGGACTTCTAATGCTGTTACGGGTACTCCAAGACCGGTCAATTGTTTTGCCATAGCCACATAAAGATGGCCATTGCGTTTAACTGTGCGTAGTTCATAGGCGCAGACTTTCCATAATTTAATTAACTCCAATACACCATTATCCTCCCATTGTCTACGCTTTTTATTGAATTTTTCATACTGCAATAAATAATGTAATGTTTAGTTCTTTTTTAATAATTATTTAATTCATTTTTTACTTACAGGCATTTCACATGGGTATCACAATGGTCAACGCTACTCTCTGAAGACGTCCTCGTTCACTTCCGTTGTAATACATAGATTTAGTATTACAAAACACTTATGCTTGCCAATTAAATGTAAATCATTTTTTTCTGTAAAAAGACAAGACAAATATTACTGTTAATTTTTGTAGATAGGGAAAGGTTTAAATTTAAATTAAATTATATTTGAACATAATATACAAAACGTAAGTGATAATATCGACCAATAAGCATTCACATTTTCCAACTACAGGTTTTGAACCGAGTGGCTTAAAAACTGTCAATTGAAAAAGTTAGGGACTCATATAATCATTGGATAAATTTAGTAAGCTCAGAGAGACAATAACATGGCGCATACATTAGCCGTTTAGAAAACATGAGCCGACGAAATACCATATAAAGGCTACAACTTTTTTGGCTACAAGGCTACAATCATTTACAACAATGTCGTTGTAAATGATTTCGACTGAGAGATCGAAAAACATAAAATTTCTTAAAATAATTACAATAATTAAAATGTTAGAACCATTTATGTTCTCTTATATTACGTATTTCCAAAACTACCACCATGACCGTACTAGAAATCTATTTCTATACAAATTTGGTATCATATTATTTTTTTCGAAATAAGTATTACAAGAGTACAAAAAAATTCCAAATATAGGTTCACCCAAATCCAAATTAAATCTTGTACTTAATTAGTACACATTTATATACATTTCCATAACTGCCTACTTTAACAAACATAAGTAAGAATTTCGAATTTCAAAATTCAGTGCCATTTATTAGACATTTTCAAAATTTCCTACATGCCTACACCCCAATTGTGATGCTAACTCCAAATTTCAGGATCCCAGCTCTATCGGTTCACCCAAATCGAAATTGTACCAATTATAGTACTTTTCGTACACATAAGTAAAAAATTACTAAAACTACGTACGTATCCCATTCCTACACTCCGACGGGAATTTTAAGTCCTGATTTATATTAGGAGAGTTTACTTTCGGCAATTCTTATCGTTCTCTTTCGAACTTGCTCCCTGCGTCTATACAAGGCAATTTGGTTTCAAACATATATTTTTTGAATTGAATTATTTTTCCGAAATGACACTACAAACAAAATACACAAAACGAATTGCCAGAAAATTGTCGGTACGAGCAATTTTTTTCCATTTCTATTCCCCTTGCCACTCTCTCCTACAAACAAAGACTTGCCGCAAGTAAACTCGCCTAATCTAAATTGGGACTAATTTCAAATTTCAGGATTAAGGCTCAATTTGTACCTTCAAACTAAAATAGTACCAAATATAGTACCATACAGAACTTTTCGTATAGATGAGTAGACGCTTTCAAAACCACCGCCTAATATCAACCCTACTTCTGAACATTGATTCGTATTCCAAATTTTAGGGTTTTAGCTGTATCCATTTACATGCTACGAAATTGTACCAAATTTAGTACATTTTAATCCTTTTCGGATACTTATAGTACGAATGTCCAAAAACACTTTCCTATATCTATTCTACACTTCATCAGTGACCCCTATTTTAAATTTAATAAATGATACCAGTATTTTTTAGAACTTTTCGTACCGTTCTAGTACGAATTTCGACAACTTTTGATGAAACACTTTAATATATAGGTCATAGTTTAACAATACCGCCAGCCAAACAGTCGATAAGATTTAATTACATGATGTTAAATAACCCCGCCAAATTATAAGAAATCCTTATTTTCATTCATTAATGACAACGATTTCGTTTACCGGAAATTATTTGGACTTAAGTACACGTCGTTTAATGACTACAATGAAATTTGGCGATCAAAACAAAACACGAAAAAACTACGTTGAATTATCATTAAAATCAAATTATTATTACTCGCTGCTATCATCGTTGTCGGCTGGCTGGCAAACAAAACAATGCTATTCTGCTGTTGGTCGAGATGAGGAAGGAGAAGAAAACAAAAATATATTTTTTCATAATGATCCTCCGATAATGATGATGATGGTTATTTTTCACAATATAGAAATTAAGGAAGAACACAACAAGTTGATTGACAATGTAATTATCGAACAAAAAAGTGACACGAAATGAGAGTCGCTAATGTCGCTGTGCATGCCAAAACATAGTGAGAACGTCATTATGAACGAAGAAGTAAACAATAAGGAGCACACAGTCCAGTCCGCAAGCCAAGTGTTTAGCAAAATATTTACACACAAATCAATAAAGCGCTACCTAAAGAAATAATAATAAACTTTTTCGTTTAATAAGAATTATTTTCTGTTAGAAAACCATATATATGTGATGACTTCAAGTCAATTGGAGAGCATCAAGTGTATGACAGAGATTCGGAGAGATAGAGAGTCAGATACAAAACAACAAGGAGAATACAATAATTTAGTATGTATTCATTCTCTTGGCAAGTGAAACGCACACATGCCGAGAATACCAACGCTTTTTGTTGGTGTATTGTCTGTTTCTGCTTCTTCTTTTTCTTAATGTTGTTCGGCGCAGAGTAACACACACAATAATGATTTAAATGGTTTTGCGATAATTATAGATTTTTCGTTTAAATGATCATTAAAAATGAATGTAATGATTTTATTGTATATGCATTTGTTATTATTATTATCACTAGAGTAACCAAAACAACCGGCAACAGCGCGCCTTTAAGAAAACAAACACACAAAATATATTTTTAAACCGCATATTGAGCTGGATTTTTGGATGAATTGAATATATTTTATTTAAATCGTTTGTTCACTTTATCAACTATAGCCACTAGAGACGAACATTTAATTTAGGGAAAACTTTTCTGAAGATGTGTATTTCTTCTGTAGGTATACACGTTTGGAATACAGACAACGACCACAAAAACAACTATAATCAACTTTATGAAAAAGCACCTAGCAGAAACAGCGGCAGCAGCTAGAGAAGACGATTCACTGTATTTTTCTCGTTTTATAAAGCGGGCGGACGCGTATACACTTGCCATCTAGTCAGTCAGCAAACCAAACACAAACAACCAGCCAGGAATTGACGACGGACGACGATGATGATACACAACTACTACACAGCTACCAACAATGCCTGTGCTTGCTTGGGTGCATCAACATGAAGCACACACATCCACTATAAACATGGCACAAAGAAATGAAGAAGCGGCGGCGACGTGTTGTGTTACTTGGCTGGCTGACTGGCTGGTTTGTTAGTTGGTCGGTCGGTTGGCTGGTTGGTGGAAAGAAGACACCCTATTTATGAAGTGTATGTATAAGAAGTTTTCAATGCATTTTTATTTTCCGTATTTGAACCGTATACAGATTTTTTGTCTTCCAATATCATCGTTTTACACATTCCCGGCCATCATTCCGGCAGGCGGACAAATGATGGGAATCATTCACTCACTTATTGCGTACAACAACAAAAAAAGAAAAACTCTCACACAATGGTAGCGGCGACAATTAGACGTTGACTTTTATGTTTATGAAATTGGTTTTCAAATCTTCGTTTCGTTTTGTTATAGATTTAATGAAAATTATATAAATGATGTAATTAGCAACTAACTAACACTGTGTATGCAATTGCCGTCGTCTGCGTTGTTGTTGTAGAATTTCTTCTTTCACAAATGCTGATGTTGTTGTTGATGGCTATGTTTGTACACTCTCTCACACATATGTTTATTATTATTCTTTCTTTTTTTCTTCTTTTAATTCCTTTTTGTGTTTTGTTATATTGTAGGCAGATTTGTTGTGTTTACACTACAGTGTGCCGAAAAAGCAAGCTCTTCTCGCCGAACAATCAAACTAAACTGAAACTGTTCCGTAAAAATTTTCAATAGCGTCTGGCAGCGAACTTAGTTTGTTCGCTCTGTACATCATTATTTTGATGGTTGCAATATGGCTTTCTCTTTCGCGCTAATGACATTTTGCTTTCGAACCTTTAATGACGATGTGCGCTAACTCAATTATGTGATTTTTTCATCGTTTCTTTCTTCGTTGTTCTTTTATCAAACACAAATATAGACACAACAATAACAACAACGACGACGACAACTACGGCAGCAGCAACACAACCAACTTCATTAATGACTTTTTCTTTGTATGATATCTCTCATGTTGGATGTTTGTCTCAGTTGCAGAGACTCATCATCATTAAATTTGATGACGAAGACATTAGGGTGTACAATAATCAAATGTAGTAAATATTTGAATTACTTTTTTTATTTCGTACACGGGTTTCAAATTTCTACTCTGATGTATGTCCATGCAAGCCAAAATTTGTCTACATTTAAATAAATTCAGAAGATTGTGACAGATGTGAGCCAATTTGAATCCTACAATATAAAGCAGTTTCATATCAATTTAAATAAAATATTCGTTGCCAAAAATATTCATAGAAAATGTTTTTACATATCGCTCATTTGCTGCGAGACAGGCATAACTCAAAAACGTGATTTTCGAGTTAATAATGCACAATTGTTCGCTATAATAGACCTCATGTTGTGTAAAAAATTCATATGAATATCTCTTACACACTTCAATTGAGAAGCTGTAGAAGTTCCTCTGTCCCTTATAAAGTGTGAGTAAATTGAAAACTTATAACGCATTTTCAGCAAAATCGCAAATGAGCGATTTTTATTGATTTTCCCGTATGCCTGTCTTAACGAAATTTCCTTTATGCTATCGAAGAAAATAGTAAAATCGAGTAGATTCTTGCAGCACGGGAACAGACCATATGTTTTTAATAAAATTTGTGAGGAGTTAATTAAAACGACATGTACATAATAGTTTTTTGCAGAATTATTGTACCGGATTAGGTTAACCCGGCAGAGTTCTAATGTAAATGCCGTTTTAACGTACATTACTCGGATTTAACCCACTTTATGAGGATTTATTTGACAAATAGGCAATGGGATTGACAATGGAAAACCACTGGGTTAACTAAGTCTGGTACAATGTAAACGTACTATTAGCTCAGTTCATAAATCGAATGTTAGTTTATTACAATGTGCGTCAAGTTTTTGTACTCTATTCCTTGTGTCCAATTCGTCCTTAATTTATTGAACCGGGCTCCACTTTTCACAA